TCTCCTCTTGGGGTCTTGGACACACACACACATGCACCCACTGTGCATTTCAAGCCACCAAGTCTGGAACTTGAACCACAGTCGACTATGCGAGAGTCCAGTGATGTAACCACCACATCATCGGCTAGTCCCTCTATTTGCTTTCTTAAGGTTTCTGATCTTCCTATTTTGAGTGTGCTGTTTTCATAACAAAAATTCCAGGCCACTTCTCCAGGCCTGCTGACTATAATCACAAAGGGACAGCCCCTTTTATTAAAGCTGTACCTGTGCTAATGAAAGATTCAGTTAAGCCTCAAATCCATAGCCCTTATATGGGGAAACTGCCCAGGCAGTATAGTTTTTCCCTTTGTAGCAGAGGTTTTCAATTTTACATGCTTAAAAATCTCAGGGGAAAATTATAAACAAAAGAAGATCATCAATAACAAAAGAGATCACTGGGCCCCATTTCAGGTATTTTGGTCTGAAAAGGAAGAACAGTGAGTGACTTTTGTTTTGTTTTGTTTTGTTCTCTTAGTTTTTTTCCATAGAGCATGTGCACTTGCCAGAGAGAGAAAGAGAAAGGGAAAGTGAGAAACCACTCCCCAGGGAGGATGGCCACCACAATCCCTTCTTCTCTATTCTCCCTTCAGGACTTGGGGGACGCACACACACGTGCCCAATGTGGTATTCAAGCCACTAGGTACAGGACTCAAACAGTGGTGGGCCATGTGGGAGTGCAATGCTTTAATCACCATACCACTGTTAACCCAAGTAATGTGCTTAAAAAAAAAATGGTTTTACATAAGGGCATGTGTGCTCACCAGAGAAAGAGAAAGATACAGTAAGAGGGAAAGTGAGAAATCACCCCCGGTGGGGAGGGGAAATGGCCTTGCCACAATCCCTTTTCCTCCATTGTTTACCTGAAATCTTGGGCACATATGCACATGGACCTGGTGTGATTTTCTTTCTTTTTATTTTTTGGAGAGATTTTCACTATAGGGCGCATGCGCTCGCCAGACAGACAGAGAGAGATATAGAGACAGAAAGCGAGAAATCACCCCCCAGGGGGGATGGTCACGCTGCAATCCCTTCTCCTCCATTCTCCTCTCGGGATCTTGGGCACACACGCACACACGCCTGGCGTGAGTTTTAAGCCACCAGGTCCGGGAAGCGAACCATGGTTGACTACGTGGGAGTCCAGCGACATAGCCATTACGCTAACTGCTGGTCTCGGACCTGGTGTGATTTTCAAGCCACTAGGTCCGGGACTTGAACCGCAGTTGGCCATGTGGGAGTCCAGTGACATCGCTGCTATGTCATCTGCTGGTCCTGTAATGTGCATTTTTAGTAAGTAGCTCCCAGACAAACTTCAGACCACACTGTTTTTAATAGTGCCTTTCCATTTTCTACAACAGCATACATGGAACGAGCATTCAACAGGTTTTTTTTTATTGCTGAGGCGGAGCTCAGTAGAATACTCGCACACACTCCTCAACAGCATACATGGAACGAGCATTCAACAGGTTTTTTTTTATTGCTGAGGCGGAGCTCAGTAGAATACTCGCACACACTCCTCTAACAGCATACATGGAATGAGCATTCAACAGGTATTTTTTTATTGCTGAGGTGGAGCTCAGTAGAATACTCGCACACACTCCTCACTGCCCATAATACCATCAAAGCAGTAGCAAATGAAGGTCTTTCCTTTAAATACGGCATGACAGATGAAATACAACCCACAAATCCAAATAGCTTAAAAATGACTGGTCAGATATTTTAAAGCACGGGTTTTGGCCCCACTTTGTATTAACTATTCATAACCTAGTAATACCTACTCACCAATTTCTTACCATCAAGTTGAGTTTCTGACAGTGTGGGTCCCTAATGCATCATTCAACAGTTCTAATTAATTCTACCTTTTGCATGAAGCATCATGTAAGAGTGTTAAGCTGTTCTCCTAGTTCAAATGAATAAAGGCCAGCTCCTGGCCCTACTGTGGGCTGTGCTGTGGGCTCATGTGAGCTTGCAGGGACAAGGAGCCAGTGCATCAGAGAAAGCTGAGAGGCCAGCATCTGGACCAATGACTCCTGCAGCTTCTTCTCTGACGGCTTTCCAAGTTTTTAAAAGGTTGTAGAAATTGGTGTCTTGCCAGCTCCCTACTTTGAAAACCTGCTCCATTTCCACCTCATTTGCAAAACGCTGCTGCAATCCCTCCTAGTTGGGAAGTACATGGAGACAGCTGGAGGTCAAGGAGAATTCTATATAGGAAAGCACCTGTTTTAAACCCAAAGCGAAGCCTACGACACAGAGGAGAAATACAACGCCTATGAACTAACTGACCCAATGCTGCCCCCTGCTGAGGAGGATGTAATTCTCTTTACTGATTTCCAACTTTTCCTTTTAAAAAAAATTATTATTTATACATTCAACCACTATACATGATTTAGATCGTAAAGAAGACTTTACTCAGCACGATATACACCTCAGTCCAGTTGATAATACTATACACATCCTCATCAACAGGTAATAAACCATATCTGTTATCTTACCTCTCTATTTTTTCCCCCAAATTTCCTTTCCTGCACTCTTCCCCTCCCACACTCTCCTTCCACTTTGTCTCTAGTGTCCATAACAATTTTTAATGCTTTTATGTCCTCCAGTCTTTCAGTCTCTACCATAAAGTGCAGATAGTTGGTATATGTTAAGTGGAGACATACAATGTCTCTCTTTCATAGAAAAAACATCCAACTTTTTCTTACACGTGCTTACAATTTAATCAGCTAACAGTAAATGTTGACTATCACTAAAAGAGGAGTTGAGTGACCCCTTCTGACCTGTGCAGCCCTTTACCTATAAGTGAAATGAACAAATAGCTTACAATAATGGTTTCTCACAACAGTGGTTTCTCACGCTCCAAAAGCTATATACTCAGAGACAGCCTGGTGCAATCACAGCATGCAAAATTAAATAAAATTGGATGTAACCTCTTGACCCCTTTTTACTGCAAGCTCCATTTTTAAATAAAATTGCTTAACAATTATTCAAGAGAAAAGCAAAGTGAGAGAGTAGAAAGAGAATCTTTACAGCAAGGCAGTCGGAGCAAAGGTTAGTCTTCCTGACTAACCTTTTTGAATAGATGGTGACACCCAAGCTTGCCATATTATAAAATTTCGTAAGTGCTTAAAAAAATGGAAAATGAAACATCAATAGCAACAGCTACTGGCAGCGATAGCTTTGGGTAGCTCTTTAAAATGAACACGACTGGGTTTAAAATTGGAAATATATCTCTTGTGCAGTGGGAAGGATGTCCTGATAGCATCCGAGCTGAAAATTACACACTTAACAAACCCACCATAAGGCACAGGGTGAGTGAAACAAATGAACGAACAAATAAACAAAACCCCCAAAATGCAGAAAAACCCCTGTCAGGAAGGGGCTCCAAAGGATTTCTTTTATTTCCTCTCAAGAAGCCATACCACCCGTCCCAAATCTTAAAGGACTGCTTTGGTGCAGTGTTTCTCAAACTGTGGTCTCAGCACCAGCAGCATCATCTGGAAACTTGCTAGTGACAACTCTACCTGAGTCCTATAATCCTAGAAAGTAGCAAAGGTTATAAGATCCTGTACTCCTGTGTTCTGGAAAATGGCTTAATGCAAAAGAATCACCCTCACGGCTTAGATAAGACTCACAAATGGGGACCAGCAGTTGGCGTAATGGCTATGTCACTGGACTCCCATGTAATCCACCGCAGTTAGAGTCCCAGACCCGGTGGCTTAAACGCGCTGTGCATGTGTACATGTGTGCCCAAGATCCCAAGAGGAGAATGGAGGAAAAGGGATTGCAGTGTGGCCAGGGGAATGATTTCTCTCTTTCTATCTGTCTTTCTGGCGAGCATACACACCCTATAGCAAAAAACAAACAAACAAACAAAAAACTCTCAAAAAAAAAAAAAAAGATTCACAAATGTTCCCCTCCATTACTCACAAGACCAATCACTGACCCTCCAAATTTCCAATCGTTGCCTAATAAGCAATTAGGTGAACTGCTCATTGATCAGAACAAAATACTTTTTTTTTTTTGAGAGGTTTTTGCTATAGGGCGCATGCGCTTGCCAGACAGCCAGAGAGAGACATAGAGACAGAAAGCGAGAAATCACCCCCCAGGGGGAATGGTCATGCCAGAATCCCTTCTCCTCCATTCTCCTCCTGGGACCTTGGGCATGCACGCACATGCGCCCGGCGTGAGTTTTCAGCCGCCAGGTCCAGGACGAGAACCGCGGTTGACTATGTGGGAGTCCAGCGACATAGCCATTACACTAACTGCTGGTTCCCAGAACAAAATGCTTTTTAACCAAACTTTGGTTAAGCTTTTCTCCCTTCTCCCGGGGCCTGAACTCTGGCCACATACAACCCTGAGGACTGGCTGGTCACAGGTTAAAGCATTCTCTGATCTACTGTGGGTTCAAACTACCCTTTTCAACCCACTTTTCACACCCTGTTCTTTCTAGCCTGGGTTTCTCCAGCCTTTATGCCTAACCCTAGAGCTCCCTGTAGACCTTATGCTCAGAGGTTCTGCTATCGCAGTAGTCGTTCTCCCTCCAATGGAAATGCTGTAGTACCTTCCCGGCTTTGCAATCATTCTTCCCAATAGACTCTCTTTACTCAATCCAAACTTGTTTTTCATTGGATATTAGAATTACAAATTCTTGGACCCTACCCAACATGTCCCAAATCAGAAACTGGAGGATAGGGTTGGGGTGCGCCCATAAATCCATTTCTCAACAAGCCCTGCAGGTATAGTCTGACAATTACTGTTTCACTGCGGTCGGGTTAGGGTAAGCGCATCCAACGCTTGAGTCCCGCTGGCTGGTGTTTCACTCAGTGGAGCTTATGTGCATAAGGGTTCTGAGCACCCCAGCTGACCATTTATCCCATAAAGTCATTTCCTAATGACACACAAGGCCACGGAGCACCCCTCCCAGCTGCGCGAGGAGCTGAGCAAACCCGAACCCATACACTTACATCTCCGTCCACTGGCCTCTGGTCGTCACAGTCCCTGGTGGGGCTAATGTCCTGGCGCATGACCCAGATGGGCTCTTTGGGCTCGTCGGGGGTGTAAGGCGAACGGATGGTCCTGGTTTTCACCTCCTCGATGGCCTCCTTGATGTCCTTGATGGCCAGCGAGATGGCATCTCTCTTCTCTTTGCTGTACCGCTGCCCTGCCTCGCCGCCGCCCGTGGGGCCGGCCCGCTGCTGCCCAGCAGGCGCCTGCAGCTCAGGGCTGTCGGGGTGGCCCCCGCCTGGGGTGGGGGCGCGCTCCAGGTCCTGCTCAGCCTCAGGCATGTCCTCGGCTGCCTTGTCGAGGCTCTGCGAGCTCATGCTCTGCTTGACCTCAGCCACGATCTGGTCGATGTCCTCCTCCTGCTCGTAGCTGTCCATGCGCGGGTAGGGCGCGAACTCGGCCTCCTTCTCTGGGCTGTCGGACTCGCCGTCGGAGCGCTCGTCGTAGTGGTGCAACCGCGCGCCCAGGGCCTCCTGGCGGTAGGCGGCCGCCTCGTCTCGCTCCTGCTCCTAGAGCCGCAGGGCGTCGCGCCCGTGCACGTCCCCGATCTCCTCGTACACGTGCTCCTGGAGGCCACCATAGTCGGCGTAGGGCTCGGCGTAGGGCTCGTCCTCGCCGCGGTGGAACAGCCGGTGCGTGTAGACGTAGCCCGAGTAGGCCGCGTTCATGGCCTCCTCGTGCTCCAGCGAGTGGAAGTGCAGGTGGTTGGGCAGGGCGCGGCGGTGCGTGGCCTCGGCGTGCTCGGCCTCCGCCTGCTCCGTGTACTCCTCCGCCTCGGGCCGGTACTGCACCGCGTAGGCGCTCTCGTCCTCGGGGTCCTGTGCGGGGTCCTGCGCACGCTCTGCGTCGTAGCCGTCGCGCGCCGCGGTGATCACGTCACCCTCGGCAGTGTCCGTGTGGTTGTGGAAGCCTGCTCGCCGAGCGCGCCAGGCTCTCTCCGCGATCCTCCTCCTCCTGCTGCCCCAGCTGGGCCCTAAGGTCCTCGAGGGCGCGCTCGCGCGGGTGAAGGCCCGCATGGTGCTGCTGCTGTGGCGGGGGGCGGGGTGCTGCTGTTCCCCCTCCACCTCGGGGTGCTCCAGATCGGCCTCCACCGACTCGTTCACCTCCCCGCCTGCCGCCTCGTCGGTCACCTCCACGGACCCCTCCAAATGGTTCATGGTGGGCGTCGGGGAAGGCTGGAGAGAGGCTGGGCCGGCTCACTGTGCTCTCATTTTGTTCCACTGGGCTGGAAAGACAAGAAGAGAGGTTATTACTAGGTTCAAACTGTAGTTAAGAGCTGAGTACCAAGATAACCATACAAACAGCTGCTATTGATCTTTCCTGAATCTGGGTCAATTAAAAAACGACTGCCAAATGAAGCTCAATCTGACAGCACGCAGCTCGTTTTTCAGAAGCATGTATCATGATTTGTAATCACATATCTACTTGTTTAATTGCTTATCGGCTTTCTCCTCTCCCACCCCTCGAGCTGACGGCCTCCTGAGCATTTTGCTCTCCACCACCCATACTAGAAAGGTTCTGACACATCGATTAAGAGTACTACAAAATGGAGTGGGCCAGCTGACAGATTTTCCATCTGCTAAGCATAAATCTCTCTAAATTAAACTAGGGATCCTAGATACTTTAGCAACAATTCCTTTTCTATTCTTATTTTTGCTTTTTAATGCCAGAAGGTGCATACATTTGTGCATGAGAGTAAGAGAGAAAGAGAGAAAAATCTCTTCCAATGGGGCATGGTCACGCAACAATTCTTTCCTTCCACTTCTCTATCCCTTTAGGATTTGGGGCACACATGCACGCTCATGACCAAAGGGGTGGGGATCTGAACTGCGGCTGGCTATGTGGCACCCAGCTCTGCATACACAGAGCTTACCTGCCCCACTGGCCAACACTGGAAACAATTTTTAAAATTAATTTCAAGACAAAATCATCTTGCAAAATGTTGGAAGCCGTTCAGAGGGAGGCTATCGTCCATCAATGGACTCTGTTTGAGCTCTGTTACCGCCTACCAATGGCTTCGTTTTCTGGACGTCCGCAAGGAAACTGAACTCATTTCCCACCTGCAGGATGTTAACCACTATTATATTGGATTAAAAAATGACTCCATGGTCAAATTAAGCTTGGGAAATGCTGAGTTTCGGTGGACTTTTCATGGTGAATCTTCTAGGGCAGGATGATACAGACAGGACACAGGGGCTTCCTTAATTTGACCAAGAAACATTTCCTTCCTAGAGGCCACTTCTGACAAGTACATCTAAAGACATGCTGACTAGATGGTTTCTAATACAGTACTCACTTCAACCATAGGCTCTGGATCTAAAATTCTATGAAGTTAGGAACTGTTATAGCTAAAACTGGATAACATGGGTAATTTTTTTTTTTAATGTGGGTAAGTTCTTTTACCTGTTTCTAGGGAAACCTATAGCAAGACAAAATTGTTTTTAACCTCTCCCAGTTCTTATAACAAAATAGGTTTATAGAATAATCTGGGCACAGGGTATAGAACTAGACATTCAGAATGATAAGGAACCAAAAGAGGCAGCAGGATATCTATGATATATTGTTATTTATTTATTTATTTATTTATCTATTTATTTATTTATTTATTTTTGCCATAAAGGGTGTGTGCTCGTGTATGCTAGAGAAAGAAAGTGAGAAATCACCCCCTCAGGGGGGATGGTCACACTGCAATCCCTTCTCCTCTATTTTCTTTTTAGGACTTTGGGTATGCATGCACAGGTGCCTGGTGTGTTTGTAGGCCACCAGGTCTAGGATTCGAACCATGGAGTTGGCCATGGAGTAGGCTCTACCACCTTAACCACCATGCCACCTGCTGGCCCAATCCATATGATTTTAAACAAACAAACAAAAACTTCATTTCTTGAGACAGAGAGAGACAAGTACCCTTGACAAGGTCATATCCAACCGTGATACCCCACTTTCAAGCCTCCCAGCCAGCCAGGATCATGACACATGCACCCAGATTATTTCAGGGAACCCAGGATCCAAACCACCGTCTGTCTTCCATATGACTTGGGCACTGCAGAGTGGTGCTCTACTGCTTGCACCACCACAGCTGGGCCAGAATCCCTATGACTTTAAGACTGTGGTAAATGGGTTTAATACAACAGTACATGTACACTCTTCTCATTGTGTTCTTTTTGAAGTCTCTCCTATGAATGAAGAAAATATATCTGCAGACGGCTCCAGGAGGACCAGGGACATCTGACTGACTCTGATGTTGGGATGTATTATATTCTATGCAAGCCCCTATCACGGCCACAGCAGTTTCCTTCAAGTACTCATGACTGCCCCAGTCACAAAGGAGGCATTTTGCAGCTACCAAGTCTACCTCCAAGCAGAAGTGTCATGGCCCTCTGTATTTTGATGGAGTTCCCACCTCTGACTCACGCTCACTAGGAGAGAACAATCTTAGCTCATCAGAGAGAAACTATCTTCATTGCTTCCCAACTTGGCAAGAGTCTCGCTTCATACAAATGAGACCCAGTCTCTTTGGAAAAATTCTGTCCTTTTCTCATTAACCCCAGAGAACAGTGACTGTGGACTAAGCATAAAAACGTTTTCAACAGCAGGTATGAGTTTCCCTTCAGACCTTGGTGGACAGGTGATACCCTGAACACAGGAGGCAAGTGTTGCTGCTGGGGTCCTCCTGGACAAGGGGCCTCCAGTAGATTGTGCAGAGTATCAAATATTCAATTCAACATATGCATGGATGAGAACTATGTACCCAGTTTCAGTTATAAAGACTCTAGAAAAGAGAACAGATACAAACTTCATTAAAGGCACACTGACTCCTTAATATATACAAGTCTGAAGTCTAGTGAACACAAAGCCAGCATTCAGATACGGAGAGCAAAAATCCTTCAGCCTTCCCTGGGTACTGTTGCCTGCACTGTCCAGCTGTGTGTGGTCAGTGTTAGAAATGCAATAAAAAAGGCATTACAGAGCACCTGATTGGTCAACACTTGCTGATAACCATGTGTGAAATTGACCAAAATGCTGTCTTCAGTGAACATGATTCTTTCTCCTTCAGCTTGATGAAAAACTATTGATATAGGTATTAAAAAGAGATTTTGTTTATTCTGGATTAAAATCATATCTGACCAGTGAATGGTTCTTTCATAAATCACTTATTGATTGTAAGAAAATGGAATTTCCATGCACGTACATACTCTAAGTTATGGTAAAGAAAGTTCTTTAGGGAAAAATACTGTTAAAATAATGTAGTTTGGATACAGTAGAGCTTTCTGTTCACGTTCACTAAGTGCATTTTTATCTATCTACCTCCAAGCCTCAGGGGAGCATTTATGCATGTAGTGTTTGCATTTCACTCACTGCCATAGTTTCAAGAATATAGTTTGGGTTCCAGTATTGCAACATGTTAGTGAACAACATACACTGATTTAAGGGAGTTCCCTAAGACAAAGGTGGTTGTCAACTGTCTTTTGTTTTAAGAGAGATTTTAGCTATAGGGTG